GAAGGTGTCTGACCAGGTGCCGTTCTGCGGGCTCAGGGAGGAATTCAGCATCTTGGTTATGTGGGGATATTCCATTCCCCAAGCTCCCGGCGGGCTCCAGCTCCTGAACTTTGACTCTTCCGCTTGCGGGTTGTCGTGGCCCCGCCTCTTGCACGCCATTGGCAGGCCTCTGCGGGTCCCACCCGCCCTCGGCCCCGCCCACCTCCCGTTCCCAGGCGAGGGGCGGCGCTTGGGAGTCAGGCGAACCTCACAAACACAAACCAGAGCGGCTCTGACCCAGTCGCCCACGCCCCTCCACCCCTCCTGCTTCTCCTCGGAGGTGAAAAGCACTGTAGCCCCAGGGCAAGCAGCGCCCCCGCATCTGCCATCTTGGTGCATGCTGTCTCTGGACGGCCAAGGCTGAGTCAGGCAGCCCGGGAAGGTTCTGCTCAGTCACAGAGGGCAGCCATTCACCGTGACCCTCACACACTGGGCACGGGCACTGCCCAACAAATGGTTACACACTCGGGTTTCAGCCGCTCGGTGGTGATACTCTGCTCCCTCGGTTAAGTGTCTCTGCGTTGTCTCTTACAATCCCCGCCAACAGAAAGGGTGCAACAGATGATTTGCTCATCAGCTCTATTCCAGGCATTGGGTATACATGTCCCAGGGATCCTGACCCTGTTTTCACTGGGATGTTTGAACGGGGACTGTGTTCCCACTGTGGACTGGAATCATCCGCCAGTTGTACCACACTCCTGGTGTAGGGAACAGCCAAGGCATGGATGTATCAACCTATGTGACACAAAATCTCTCCATGAGATTTGAATGTTGAACTCTTAGGACAGGAAATGGTACTAGAAAAAGGAAGTACTCCCCGCTGCTGTGTGGGAGCAGATGAGAATGATGCCCAAACGTCAATGGAGAAAGGCAGAAAAATGAGTAGGAGTTTCCCAGGCTAGTGGGAGGCAAGAATGCTAGCTCAGGATAAGTGAAAATCTGGAGCCAGAAGAAACGTGTGGCTGAGCGTGTGGGTGATGAAGGTGCTGAGCAGCTTCCTGAGGGCAAAGGGATCCCATCAAAGGGCTCGGAAAGAGAGCAGAGAGAGATGTTTTAGAAGAAACCCTCGGGCTACTTAGAGAAGGAGAGTAAAGACAGAAGCAAAGGGGCCACTTGGGCGCTGTTAAGAGCACTCAGATGGGGTTGGGGATTTAGCTCAGTGGTAGAGCGCTTGCCTAACAAGCGCAAGGCCTTGGGTTCGGTCTTCAGCTCTGGGGGGGGGGGGGCACACAGGGGCACAGCCAGGGAGAAGACTGAGCTTCAGGATAGACGGCAAGGTCAGCAGGACTCCAGTGTGGTGGAGATGAGGCCGAGTCTCGGGTTCCTGACTGGCATGTCTATCCCCAGGGTGGGGAGGCCAGAGGAGGGAGAGAGGCTAGAAGAGGAAGAGAGTGCATTCAGATTCAGACGTGTTGGGCTAGAATGCTGGTCCGTGTTCTGTTTTCTTAGACTCTGAACCTTTCTATCCGCACCCATTAATCAGGAGCTAGCAGCTCAGGTTATGTACCTCTCCCCTGAAACTCAGAGCCCGTTCTCTCAAGCAACTAAGGGCAGCCCCTATGCGCCAGAGCCCTCCCGAGTTATTGAATCTGGTTCATCCTAGCCCTGCCCCTGCCTGTCTTTCCCTCAGAAAAAGACCGTGGATCATGCTTGCCCTTTGCTCCTGTCTGCCTTCCAAAGGACACTGGTGCTTCCCCCTTGGGACTGTGTGTGCATGGCTTGTCTGGTCTTTTGTCTCCAAGGTAACTGAAGATCATTAAACTTTTCTTTTAAAAGTATTGACTCTTTCAGTGCCAGCACCCAACCACAAAACCCACATGCAGGCGCAGATCAGTGGGATGTTCAATTCCTGAGGTCTGGGCCTTGTAGACTGGAGTTAGAGATCTTGGAGTCATTCCCATTTAGCTGGGATGGGGTGGCTTTTTGTCTTTTTTATTTTGCTTTCGAGACAGGGTCTCACGGTGTATCCCTGACTGGCCCAGTAACTGCTATGTAGACCAGGCTGGCCTTGCGCTTGAAGTGATTCTCCTGCCTCTGCCTACGTGCTGGGGTTACAAGTGTAAACCATCATGGTCGGCTCATCAGCATTTAGATGGTGAATTCATTTGTTGAGTTGATTTTAAAAAATACTGCAAACTGGATGTGCTGGACGCAAGAATCAAGATGTCATCAGGGTGGGTTCCTTGGGGGTCTGTGTGTGCGTCTCTCATCATTTCTGAGGGTTGGTTGGTAATCTTCAGTGTCCATAGGCACTCTGATCTCTGTGTCTATCATCACGTGGTGATCCCATAACAAAATACTACAGATTGGACAGTTTTGTTTTTGTTTTTTGTTTTTTTTTCAAGACAGGGTTTCTCTGTGTAGCTTTGTGCCTTTTCCTGGACTAGCTCTGTAGACCAGGCTGGCCTCGAACTCACAGAGATCCGCCTGCCTCTGCCTCCCGAGTGCTGGGATTACAGGCGTGCACCACCACCGCACAGCTGGACGGTTTTTAAAGATTTTTTTTTTTTTTTTTTTTTGGTTTTTCGAGACAGGGTTTCTCTGTGTAGCTTTGCGCCTTTCCTGGTACTCGCTTTGGAGACCAGGCTGGCCTCGAACTCACAGAGATCCGCCTGGCTCTGCCTCCCGAGTGCTGGGATTAAAGGCGTGCGCCACCACCGCCCGGCTTAAAGATTTATTTTTTACTGTGTGTTTGTCCATGTGTGTTTGTGGGGGTGCGTGTGAGCACAGGTACCCGAGAATGTGAAAGGAGAGCGTTAGATCCCCTGGAGCTGGAATCTCAGGCTGTTGTGGGTCACCTGACATGGGTGCGTGTCACCTGACATGGGTGCTGGGAACCAAACATGGGTCTCTGCAAGAGCACACTATGCTCTCTCAGCCACTCAGCCCAACTCTCTAGCCCTATGCTGGACAATTTATAAGCAATAAAAATTTGTTGCTCATGTTTTTGGGGTGTGAGAAGTCTGAGATCAGGTGCCAACAGCGCTTAGTGTCTGGTCATGACCTGTTCTTCATAAATGATGCCATTCATGTGTCCTGACATGGTGGAAAGAACAGGCAGGAAAGACAGCAAAAGGCACAAATGATCTGCAGCTTCTCCCATAAGGGCATTAATCCACATGCAGGGGCAGAACCCTTGACTTAATCATGTCCCCAAAGTCGCTACCACTTAGCACCACAACAAGGGTAAGTCTCAAGACATTAATTTTGGGAGACACTTCAGGCCATGGAAGTGTTATTCCTGTGCGTGTTCAAATTTTCTCTCTAGCCATGGACACCAGTCATATGGGATTATGTACTCCAGTGTGACTTTATCTAAGCTAATCACATCTGCCATTACCCTATTTCCAAATATGATGGAATTCAGAAGTTCTGGGGGTTACAGCTTCAACAGGTGAGCATTTGGAAAACACAACTGAACCCCTGACTGTTATGGAATAATCATTTTGTACACTGTGAAGATGTGTCTTTGCCAAGGCACCTTCTGATTGGTTTAATAAAAGAGCTGATTGGCTGGTAGCTAGGCAGGAGGTATAGGTGGGACAGTCAGACATGGAGGATCCCAGGAAGAAGAAGGGTTGAGTCTGGAAAGTCATGAGGAGACTTGGAGAGAAGCAAGATGAACTTGCCGTACTGAAAAAACATACCTCCATGTGGCAGAGCATAAATAAGAAATATGGGTTAATTTAAAATGTAAGAGCTAGTTAGTAACGAGCCCGAGCTACTGACCGGGCATTTATAATCAATAATAAGTCTCAGTGTGGTTATTGGGGAGTGGCTGCTGGGACACAGAGATACTCCTCCTACACCTGACAGGTAACGATGGAAGTTACATGAACAGATGGACGCATAAGCAAATGAAGAGTAAGGAGGGACTTCCAAGGAACACCAGCACACGCAGAGAACCGAGACCAACTGACCAGACAGGGAGGCGCAGCATGGCGGAAACCAGTGGACACAGATCCAAGCTAACCTTGCCCGACAGCGCCCCCCACAGGAAGGATAGTCTGGGTGGTTTGTGGCTGTGATGGCTGCTGACTGAAGTTCTGATGAAACTGAAGGAGGCTGAAGATCCTGATGCATGAGATTATTAAAAAAAACAAAAACAAAAAACTAAGTCTATGGACCAGTGCACCCAGAGCTTAGGTAGAAGCACTCACCCCTGGGATAAAAGTAGGTGACACTCCATTTTGATCTTAAACCACAGAGCTGCCACATCTATGTTGGCAAACTACCGCTCCTGTGGCATTGGTTTCTCCTGACACACAGCCCCATCGGCCTCTCCTCTCATGTGGAACCTCTCCTCCGTGATGCACATGTTCGCAGTGACACACTGACCCCTCCCCTGGAATCTCAGCTCTAACAACTTGAGGAGCGCTTGTTCGGATGTCTTGATACATCCAGCCTGTTAACACCCATACTGTTCTGCTCCTAGACAATTGGCCGAGTACTGGCCACACTGCTCTTTCCAGACTAACAGTAAGTCATAGTCTATTCAGTCACCAACGCGTTTCTCAGATAAAGCCAGTGGCACCCACAGCATAATCCTAGTTAAAGGCGTTTTAAACGAACACAGCCTCATATCTGCCCAGTTGTATCTATTTCTCTCTCAACACCCTCTGCCTCACCATTGTATCTGTGTCTATCTTACACACATGCACATTAGTCTCTCACGACTCGGTGACTCTCTTACACACAAACCAGCCTCACCACTCCGTCTCTTGAAAACATGTCTCATGTATATCCTATGCCTCACCAGCCGCCCCCACACACACATCCTCACAAATCTTTTCTAGTCTGTCATGCACACATACTCCGCCTCACCGATCTGTCACACTCAAAAAAAAAACCGCAAACCAATCTGCCTCCATCTGGATCCCAGTGGCACGCACCGAGGACCCCATCCATCTTCCCCCAGACCCGCATGGAACAAGGCCAGGTGGAGGCGCTGCAAGACAGGTCTGGGCAGGGCGGGGCGGTGGCCCTCCCGTGGCTGTCGCTCGCTTCGGACTCTGCCCGGGTCTGGGCGGTGGCTGCAGCCGGGAGGGCGACGTGGAAAGGCCACGTGGAGCCCCCGGGGGGAGGGCCGGCTGCGGGCAGCCAGGCAAGGGCGCCACGGTGCCTATAGCGCGCACGAAGCCGGAGCCCCAGTCGCGCGCAGCGCCACCGCAGCAGGTGGGTCGGACTCGGGCGGGGGCTGGGGCCCAGCGGGCGGCCGGGGTACCGGGCTTCTTGGGGGTGAAGGCAGAGACCTTCTGCCTGCGGTCGGGATGCCGAGGGCGCCGTCCTCCGCATCCCTTGCGTCTTGGACTGGGCTGGGGAGGTGGCCCTGGCCTCTAAGTACCATTGGGGAAGAGGTCATCTCTGAGAGCAGGTAGAGGAAGGGTGCAAAGCGCCCCCCAAAGCCCTCTGGGTTTAATGGCAGGTCCAACAGCCCTGGCGGCAGGATTATTTCATCCTCATTCAGTAGATGGAGATGATTGAAAGGACGCTGGCCGTCGTCATCCAACTGTAGGTGGCTGGTCTCCGTGTAGTTCAGGTGTGAGCCCCTTGGGCTGCATAGCCGCGGTCATTCGGGGTTCCCCCTCCCTAGACGCAGGCACGAAGGGGCTAAATGAAGGAAGATGACTAGATTCACATAACTTGTTCAGAAATGACATGGATGCCCTTCATGGTGCCAGCTCCTGTCCTGGAAAGGTTCAAGAGAGGCATTAGGGCTATTTGACAAGGGTATTGTAAAAGAAATGCATCCATGAGATGGGAAGCCATACGAGCTAAGGCTCCAAAGACCCCCTGCCACATGGAGGAGCATCTGCTGACCCTAGCTTAAACCTATACTGTTTCATTGTACCCCCCTGAAGCCCCTGTGAAACTTTCTCATCTTAATCATGAAGACCCCAGGGCTAAGGGAGGTTAAGACGCCCGCCTGGACCACACAACAGTGCAGAGGCAGGATCTGATCAAAGGTCCAACCTCAAGGCCAAAGTCTCCTCCTGTGAGCTGGGGCAAAGGCTTAAAGAAATTGGAGGCAGAAGGTTGTTGTGGGGGTGTGTATGTGTGTCTGACTTGAATAGCTTCACTGAATTATATCACAACTTAACTAGCAGTTACGGTGGCTCTCGAGTGTTTATTAGGGTAGTTACGTTTATACATGCTATAATTATAGGAAATAGCCAAGATCATTTTTTTATTTTACAAGCAATTGTTCAAGGACCACTCTATTTCTGTTACTTACAAAAGCTCTTACAAGGGCTTAAAACTGCGTGAGTATGAGCAAGCCATACCACATCACCCTCATTACACCTCACATGAAATGTTGTCCCGGTTCTCCTAAACAGTGGCTGAAAACATCAAGGGAATAGTAGACTCAAAGCCTGCATGCAGCGCTCTTCACTCTTGGGGTAGACTGCAACCAAGTGCAAAGGTTACAGGGGGGGGGGTGTCCAGGTCGAAGGCGGAACAGGTTTGGACGAGAACACTAAAACGTGAAAATAAGAAAATCTCGTACGTCGTTGTTTGAAGCACTGCTTGCTCTAATGGAGCACTGGAGGGGGAGGTAAAGAGGATGTGATACCTGAACACCCAAGCGAGGACTCTGGACTGTAAGAAAAACAAGGAGCCATGGAAGGTCTTGGGGTTGGAATTGCCAGGTGTGGTGGTGCACACCAGTTATCCCAGCGCTTGGATCAGGAGTTCAGGGTTATCCTCAGCTACATGCTGAGTGGCAGGCCAGCCTGGGATACATGAGACCACGAGGGATTTTCTTAAATTAATTGATTATTTGAAATAGGGTTTCTCTGTAGCCCTAGATGTTCTGGAACACACTCTGTAGACCAGGCTGGCCTGGAACTCACAGAGATCCACCTGTTTCTGCCTCTAAAGCAGTGTGATTAAGGGTGTGTGGCAACACCCCTGGCCTGTATTGTTTTTATTTTACATGTATGGGCATTTGGCCCACATGTATGTTTGTGTACCACTGTGTGCCGTGCCCTCAGGGGAGACAGGAGGCCGGGAGAGGGCTCAGGCCCTCTGGAACTGGTTACAGATAGTTACTAGCTAACGTATGGGTGCTGCTCTTAACACCTGAGCCATCTTTCCAGCCCCTTTTGTTTTGTTTTGTTTTTTTAAAGCCTGAGGACCTGAGTTCAAACCCCCTACCCCACAAGGTGGCAGGAGAGAGCCAATTCCCCAGAGTTGTCCTTTGACCTCCACAGGCGTACTTTGGCACACACAGGCCTACACTCATTCAGAGTAATAAAATAAACAATAAAAAAATGTTTTTGGAGCAATGGCATTCTAGTAAAGGGAGACTTATCTGATGTGGGTGTAAAGACGGTACCACAGGCTGGGAGAACAATAAAAGTGTGTGAGAAGAAGTTCACTGTCCACTTACCATTTTCAGCAATCCCATGAAAGTGGCTCTTGGTTCTGTCCTCTACACACACCAAGTAGTTCCATATGTAAGGGACTCACAGGACAGAGAAGAGGACAGGGACTCTGATGTACATGGGAAGGGCTCAGAATCAGCACGTGATTTACAGAGCCCGGTGAAAAAGTGGTTGAGACTTTCGGGAGAGCTACAGCAGACAGCAGACAGCTGTGTGGCCAAGTAGGTCCCACACCTAAGAAGCCAGCTCCTACAGGGCTGGGGTTTGGATTATCATGATTACTTAACAAGCCACTCCAAAACTTAAGTGGTTTGGATTTGAAGATAGAGGAAGAGCCCCCGAGTCCTTCAGAATCCCTCCAGGTCTTCAGAAGGGGCTCCATCTGTGGCAGGTGCTTGCAGATGGTCTCAAGCTTCCCAGCAGTAGGCATGCTGCTTGTACAGTTGGGGTCAAAAGCAGCTCCAGCACTTACCTTGCTCCTAGGCAGACTAGATGATCATAACGATGCTTCAGTACCAGCTAGGCTACGGGAATCCTCTGCAGGTTAAAAAGCAGTCTATAACAGCCGGATATGGGGGCACGCTCTCTCCTGTAATTAGCACTTGGCAAGAGGCTACATGGGGAGACCCTGTTTCATAAAAACAACTAGAGCTAGGTGTGATGGTGCACGACTGTAATCTCTGTTCTTGGGAGGCTGAGACAAGAGGCTTTCAGTGAGTTTAAGGCAAGTCTGAGTTATATGAGTTCAAAGCTCACCTGGATTGCATGTCGAGACCTTGTTTCACCAACCAACCAAAACAACTTAGTAGCTTCAGATGATGACTTTGCTCTGCATGCTGTCTAGGCGAGGCAGTGGAGACCAGCTTTCTTCTGTTCATGCTGCTGGCTACACCAACTGGAAGGCTCACAATTGGATATGGGAGGTTCATTCTCTGACTTGTCTAGCCTGGAGGTAGCTGGGCCCCAAGAACTCTATTCCTATGTAGTCTTTTGGGGGGTTTGCGGGGGAGACAGAGAGGGGCAGAGACACCGCCTGGACTGGCAGTCTTTTGGGTTTATCTTAGTCACTTGGAAGCCAGTCACTAAGTCAAAATGTAGAAAAGAGATGAATTAGACTCCAGGTTTGTGGGGAAGGAAAGTAAAAACAAATTGAATACATGGACCAGTAAGATGGATAGTAAAGGTGTTCTGATCCCCAGGTCCTACACCGTGGAAAAAGAGAAACGACTCCTGAAAGTTGTTCTCTGACCTCCACATGTACACTGGCACACATGTCTACAGACAGACAGACAGACAGACACACACACACACACACACACACACACACACACACACACACGAAGAAAAAATAAGAAAGGTAATTTTTAAATTAAAAAGAAAAAACTAAAACTGTAGGCATGTTTTTGGGGTCCCTGCAGTCAGCCTAATGAATGAATGGATTAGTGGGTGGAGGGGGGACACTTCCTGCCGGGCCCAAACTGCCACCACTAGGGTTTGTCTTTGGAGTTCAAACATCCTCTTCTGAAAAGCAACCTTAGGGGACGACAACAGATTCAGTCCAGCTCTGAGGGACTGAAATGATGTGAGTCTCTCCTGCAGCCCGGATGCTGGCAGGGAACAGATGGGGAGGAGAAAGTAAGTTGAAGGACTCAGGGGGAAAGCCAGGGGGGAAGGTGTGCGGGAAGGACTTCAGAGCAGCCAGGACAACTTGTGGAAGGAAGAGGCCCCCTCTCACTTAGCTACCACCAAGCCTGCATGGCAGATGGAGACCGGAGAGAGGGAGAGCACACAGCCAGCGCAAGGCAGAGCCTTCGGTTAGGACCCTTACGCTCCGTGTTCGAACACTGGGTTAGACCTCCTTCTCCTAGCAATTCTGTATTTCTGTGTCCCTCCCTCTCCGTCAGCATCTCATTCCATTGCCTAGGCTGGCCTCGAACTCATGACTGTTGTAACTCAGCCTCCCAGGCAGCTGTGACTGTAGGTATGTGTGGCACTCACTTCTGCTCATCTGTTCATTGTTTAAACATCTGTGTATCTTTTCCTGATTATGTAATTTTGCAAGCCTTAAGGAGGAAAAGAGTTAGTTTGGTCTTATACCTCCAACTTACTGAGAGTACCTCATTTATAAGAAAGAACTTGAGAAACAGTAAAGAAACTGGCTGGGGAAATGACTCAATAGTTAAGAGCACCTGTTGTGGCCCTTGCAGAGGACCCAGGTTCGGTTCTCAGCATCTACATGATTGACTCACAACCTTCCGTAATTCCAGTTCTAAGGGATCTGATCCTCTCTTCTGATCTCTTTGGGCACCAGGCACTCACATGGTACACATGCATACATGCACACGCGGATCCTTGAGCTTCTTGGGCAGCCAGTTTAGCTGAACTGATCAACTTGAAGTTCAGTGAGAGATTCTGTCTCAAAAAATGAAAGTGGTTTGGCAGCTAAAAGATACTTACTGTGCAAGCCTGGGAACCCGACTTTAATTCTTGGAATCTATGAAAATTCCGGACTCCATAAAGATGTCCTCTGACTCCCACACGTACACCACGACACAGGTGCCCACCTCCACGTCACTCCCAACAATAATGTATTTTTAAATTAATGCAGGTTTCTTGTGATCAAGGATAGTGACCAAAGAAAGATATTTGACATTAACTTCTGACCCCCACATGCATGTGCACAACTACATTAATAGGTTCATACACCACACACACATTGCACTACACACACACACAAACACACACACACACACACACACACGCATGCACACGCACGCACGCACGCACGTGCATGCACATAAAGGAAAAATGAGCACGTGGCCTGTGCTATGATGGCTCCATTTTTTTCTGGGCTTCCACTCTTTGCCTTCTTACTCAAGGCAGCTCAAAACGGTAAATGTTATGCTTATCTCCCTGTGAGCCGGGTGCTTGCCAGCTCCACCTCTCAGCTCTTAGGGACCTAATGCCCATCCTGGATATGGTTCTAGACCTTGTTAGGATCATGGACCTCTTAGAGAACCTGCTGAAAGCTACGGAATGTTCTTTAGGAAAATCTAGTGCTGGCCTGAGTTTTAGGTTCTGTGGACGAGAGGTCCTGACCATCAAACATCTGATTATTTTTCTGCACAGAGATGGTTTTTCTGGGGGGATGTCTCAGTTTGGATGGGCGTCTGCCTCCTTGGAAACTCACATTATATGTACACATCCCTAGGATGAACCAGAAAGCTTTATGTTCTGTGTTTCCAATGGACTCATTTTATATTTGACCATTTCCATATAATCAAGTCTGTGTAATGTAGAGACAGCCAGACTGACTTTGAACTCACAATCCTCCTGTCTCAGACTCCTGAGCGCTGGGATTATTTATTTATTGTGTTTTTTGAGACAGGGTTTCTTTGTGTAGCCTTGGCTGTCCTAGAACTAGCTCTGTAGACCAGGCTGGCCTCAAACTCACGGAGATCCTCCTGCCTCTGTCTCCCAAGTGCTAGGATTAAAGGTGTGTGCTACTACTGCCCAGCGAGTGCTAGAATTATGAGCATGCACCACCACACCAAGCCTCAGTAGGTTTTTCATAAGTACAGACTAACAGTCCATCTCCCTCTTTGTCTCTCTGTATAGTTTTGGTCTATGGTGATCCCAGCTTTCCTAATCTATCCTTTTCCCATCTGTAAATGAAGTGGCCTACTCCAGAGCAGACACACTTAAGCAGCACTTTAAGCAGGGCCAGTGGGACACAGGGAGGAGCCCTCACACCCAGAGCTACCTCCCACAGCACATCTCTGCTTTTATGCACTTAAATACTGGAGTAGGATTTATATATTTTCCTATAATCGGGACTTACGTTGAGCAAAGTTCCATGGGACGTTGCTGGTGTGCATGTATAGTCCTCTTTGAGCAGACATCCCTTTTCCTACGTGTTTCCATATGCGAGGAAAGAAGTCATTTCTTCCTGAGCCATCTGACCCCCAACACTGCGGCAGACACCCCTCTCCTGATTCTCTGATTCTATTCCTAGCTCCAGTCTCCAGAAGGATGTTCCAGTGTCTGATGCAAGTGTTGATGCTACCCCTGTTGCTGCTACCTTTGGGTCACGCTGCTCCCAAGGATGGAGCTGCAAGGTGAGAGGATTAGGAGGGTAAGTCCCTGGGCTGGGGTAGGGAGAATCTCTGGAAAGACGTCAGGACCCCGCCTGCTGAAGTATAGCCTCCTTCATTGCTGTGTTGAGCACCCCAACCTTCTGCCTCGTGATAATCAGAATGTCACAAGCAGGGACGTAGTGCATGCTTGGAGACCCCTTTGCAGCCAAGAGTTCAGCCGCAGTCCTGTGTAAAGCAGCAGGAGGAGGCTAGGGGCTGGGACAGGGGCTGTGATCTGTGAATCAAGACCTGACACTGGGAATACCAAGGAAATAGGGATCATTAGCTAACGTTTCTGACTTGCTAGAACTGCTTTCTTCAGTATGTGCAGTAGGATCGTGGGTATGAGGGGCCAGCGATGCTGGAACAGCCTTGGAGGGCTGGCGACAGTGACCTAAGTGGCTGCAGCAACTCCTGCCAGTTCTGTTACTCCAGGCTGCTGTGGGCAAACAGTAGCCACATGCAGGAGTCGGAATACATCCTGAGACCCTGGGCCGACTTAAAGTCCAGGCTGACATCCATGCCCTCTGCTTGAAAAAGGAAGAGGCAGTGATGTGTCCTGGGGCAGACTGGGTCTGTAGAAACCTGGGCATCGCTACTAGCCTTAGCTTTCGATCTGCTCCTTGGATGCTGGCATTGAAGAAGCAAGACAACAATAAGCCACTGTGTCTTTTTTGTTTTGTTTTTGTTTCTCGAGACAGGGTTTCTCTGTGTAGCTTTGCACCTTTCCTGGATCTCGCTCTGTAGACCAGGCTGGCCTCGAACTCACAGAGATCCGCCTGGCTCTGCCTCCCGAGTGCTGGGATTAAAGGCATGCGCCACCACTGCCTGGCTTCACTAGACCATCTTATTGGGCCTCCACTGTGTGTCTACTATGGTGGCCTCAATCTTACCGGGAATTTTCTCCTTTCTTTTCAATTTTGTATTTATTTACGTGTATGTGTCCGTGTGTGCATGAGTGTGGAGGTGCTTGCAGAATCTAGAAGAAAGGGTTAGGTCCCCTGAAGTTGAAGTTACAGGTAGCTGTGAGCCACCCAATATGGGTACTGGGTGAACTCAGGTCCTCTGTGAGAGCAGCAAGTACTCTTACCCATCGAACCATCTCGCCATTGGGGTTTTCTAAAGTTAACTAAGGCACCTGAGCTGCAAAAACAGTCTTAGGAGGTAAGGTTCTTTTTCCAGTGACATCTGAAGAGCTTTTTCCCTACAGCCTTTTCTGGGCATTTGGGTCCGTTGGGTCTGCGGAAATCTAAGCTAGGCCTTGGGCTGAGACTTCTCTTCCCTGTTCTAGGCTGGACCCTGAGGTTCAACAGCCGCTCACGCCCAACCCGTTCCAGCCAGGCCCCGAGCAGCTCCAGTGAGTAAGCTGAGAGCCTTTCAGTAGGTATTAACTGGTCAAGTCTTGGGTCACAGACGGGACTCTCCTGACTGATCTGCTGCTTTCTCAACAGACGTCTGCAGAATTACCTCAAGGGGCTGAAGAAGATGGAAGAGGATCCAGAGCACATGGACCGGGAGCAAGGTGAGGCGCTGGGAGGCTCCTGGGGACAGAGCTGGGGCTGAGTGCCCGCTGCCCTGTGGGTTCCCGCCTTCTCTAACCCAGCTTTTCTCCCTTAGTCCTGCTCTACCTCTTTGCTCTTCACGACTACGACCAGAATGGACAGCTGGATGGCCTGGAGCTGTTGTCCATGTTGACGGCGGCTCTGGCTCCCGGAGCCGCACACTTTCCCATCAACCCGGTAGGCACTGCCGGACACTGTTAGACTAGCGCCTCGCCTCGGAGCTCTGGTCCTTTGGTAGACTCCCTGAAAAAGGAAGCTCAGACCCTATGCAGCAGGGACCAGGCTGTTGGGGGACGGGCTGGGTTCCTGGCAATACCTATGGTAACTGTTCCCACAGGTGATCCTGACGGTAGACCAGGTGCTTGAGACCCAGGACCTGGATGGAGATGGACTCATTTCTCCCGCAGAGCTTGTCAACTTCCCAGGAGAGGCCCCCAAGCACCCAGAGTCCCTCCCCCCAGCGCTCCAGGAGCCACAACCTGTTGGAAGGCAGCTGCATTTCGCTAACAATCCATTGCAGCCAGACTCCCAGGGATCCCCGGAGACTGGAGAAGAGACTAGGGACCAGGCAGAGGCCAAAGGGGAGCCTTTGGAACCTGTGCAGGAGGCTGGACATCAGACAGGGTCCCAAGTAGATACCCTCAGTCCTACAGGGGAGGCTAGGAGACAGGCAGAGGCTGAAGGAGATGTCCCCGTTCCCAGAGAGGATGCTGAGGGCCAGGTGGAGAGCAGGGACACTGAAGGGGAAGCCAAAGAGCTGCAAGTGGAGACACTAGATACCATAAACACTCCAAACAAGGTTGAGGCTCATAGTATTCAAATGGAGAACGATGAGATATAGGCCCGACGGCACGGGCTCGCATCCCTTCAAATCTCAGTGAGGAGCAGAAGCATGAAGGGCTAAGAGCCACCTCTGACAGGGGTACGGTGGCACAAGTCAGTAATCCTAGAACTTGGAAGACTATAGCAGAAGGATTGAGAGCTCCAGGCTAGCCCAGGCTATACAGCTAGTTGGAGGCCAGGCTGGCCTACTTAGTAAGACCCTGTCTTGATGAGGGAACAAAAGCACTCCTATATTTCCTTTCTGGCCTCAGGAGGAAGCAGGACTTCCTGTGCCACTCAGGGAGACCCCAAGCTGAGAGGCAGCTTTCAGGCCCCCAACAACTAATAAAGAACAGAATGAATTCATCTCCATAGCTCCTTCCCCTCAGAACACAGGGGCTTGGGGACTGGACAAGCTTCTCGGCGGGATGGAGAGTCAGCTTTTCCCAGGGTTTCTGGCCGGGGGTGCTGAGATCACTAGTCACAGCCAGCTGCAGACAAGCCCAGGAAGAAAGCTGTCTATCCTGGGAGCACGAACTCTCGCCTGAAGATTCCTCTTGACTTGATGGTCAGACCTCTGTGACCCGTGTTGTGGCTCAAGGCAGAGAGATGGTCCCCACTCCTAGGTGGCATTAATAACTACCCTCCCCTTCTCTTCCTCTTCCCCCTTCTCTTCCTCTTCCCCCTTCTCTTCCTCTTCCTCCTCCTCCTTTTCTTCCAGGCCCTCGAGCTAGGTGACAGCCACAGTGGTCAGGGAGCCTTCTTTCTGGGTCCATGGGGCTTCTCTGTCCAAGACTACCTTTTCCCATGGGCTTCCCAGGAACCTACAAGTCCTCAGAACTTACCGTGAGTCAGGTTGGCACTTCAACCACAAATGTAGCCTGATGCAGAACGCTGCTGTCCCTTGGGGAGGTTAGATGCAGGTGACATGTCAGGATCGGAATCTAAGATGAGATTCCGGACAGTTGGACAAAAACATAGGCTTCCTTGTCAGACAGACGTGAATTCAAATGAGTCATTTAATTAGGTGTGTTCCACCTTCGTGGGCATTGCTTAACCATCGCCTTCAGCTTCCCATCTGTCAAATGGAGTTGATTTTTGCCTGGTCACAGAATTATCGTCAGGATGAAAATCAGATAAAATGCTATATTAAAATGTCAGCCTGGTGCCTGGTGTGTACAAAGTTCTCAGAAGAAGGAGGAGGAGGAGTAAGGAAGCCCATGGGAAAAGGCAGTTTTGGACAGAGAAGCCCCAGGGACCCAGAAAGCAAGCTCCCTGACCACTGCGGCTGTCACCTAGCTTGAGGGCCTGAAGAACTTTCTTTTCTGTTGCTTTGTTCTAGAGAGGGATGGGCTGTCCTCCCTGGACTGGATGGCTCAAGGTCCCTGTCTTCCCTGACACTCCTCCGAGGACAACTGATGGGGAGGTGCCCACTGCCTTAGCCGATGTAGCCTCCCTCCGGGTCTATGTGGGTGGGGCTAATCTGAAGAATGAGGGGAAAAAAAGATGGAGGACTGTGTGTCAAAGCCTCAGGCATTTCAACCAGAGCAGTCTGAGTATCAAGAAGGACAAATGGGCTAGGCCTAGGATTCCAGCACCGAGAGGCTGAGACAGAAGGACTTCAAGTTTATGACCAACCCTGGGCTGCATGACCAGACCTTATCTCATATGGAAAAAAACCAAAACAAAACCAATAACAAAAACCACTCAAATAGACAAAGCTGGCTTAGGGGAAGATTTATTTGCTCTGAGTATCTGCAGAATGGAGGTGGAGGAATACAGAAATATGAACACAGAGAGTTCTTTCCGCAGCCTACACCTGCCCAGGGAACAGGGCAGCTGGACGCCAGGCTGGGTAAAGCGGAGAAGGCAATGGCAGGCAATGGTGCCAGCCTCTGAGATGTTGAGCTGGTGCCTCTTCTCGCCCACCTCTCACACGATGCCGTCAAAGCCCTGCAGGCCACACTTCCTGCCAGCCACCTGGCAGCCGAATCTCAGTGCCTCCTGCATGCTGTTTCCTGGAGGAGGACAAGGAGCAGCAGGGTCAGCCTGGGGTCTGGGACAGTGACAGGCCCAGCCCTGCCCTGATCCCACGCTGAGGGACTCACCCTTCGACAGGCTGAAGATGACAGAGGCGTTGAAGGTGTCTCCAGCCCCCAGAGTGTCGACGACTCGGGGTGGCGGGAAGGCATCTGAGTGTAGCAGCTGGCCATCGGGGCCCAGAGCGTCGGCGCCCTCCTCAGCCCAGGCACAGACCAGTGTAGCCCTGGAAGACCCACTCAGATGGGTGCCAGTCCACCTCATCCCCCCCCCCCAGGCCCCTCAGGCCTCTTCCTGGCTTCCCCACTCACCCTTTCTTCACACGACCATACAAGCCTCTCAGGGCCTCCGCCGCTGACTGGAACCCCAGGTGCTTGGCCACGTCTTTGCTCACAAACACCTGTGGGCAGGGAAAGAGAGGCTGGCAGCCACCTCTGCTGAGTCCCTCACTACTAACGGCCAGTGTTGCCGACAGGTTATAGCACAAACCTTCTAAGTTAGTCACGTAAATCCCTAGCATGGCATCTCGCTGTCCCACAGGAACGCATTTTATGCCTGCCTTAAGCTGTGCCAAAATACAGCCTTGTGAATTGTGACACGGTGGGGGAGGGGCCGATATTTTTATTACGAGTTGAGGGGATTCAAAACCCAGAAGGAGCCTGGAGCACCATCTTGGGGTGAAGTCAAACCAGGCTGGCTCTCAAGAGTGAGGTCTGTTTTGTCTGCCTGCTCCCCACAGAGCCCAGCCCTTCAGAGTGAGTTTCTTCATCTGCAAAATAAGGCAGCCTTAGGGCTCCCTTCACAGTGGCTTCATATTAGAGTCCCTAGGGAGAGTTTGGGGGGAGGGGGATCAGCCTGTTCCCCCCCCCCCCAGCTGAGGACCGAACCCAGGGCCTTGCGCTTGCTAGGTAAGCGCTCTACCACTGAGCTAAATCCCCAACCCCAGACGGTCATTTTTTTAACTGTGCACCAAGGCCAGCCAACAGTGTCTAGACAATGTCCAACTAGCTTTAGCTACGACGCCGGCGTTATCGCCTAAGTTCCCTTTACACACAGCCCTGTCTAAATCTTCCTTGAACCAGTCTCCTTCCGAGCCTCTTCTCTCGCCGCCTGCCACCTACGTGAGAAAAAACTCAGAGAACAGACTCATTCCCGTCTTCATTTTGCAGAGGGAAAGGCTGAGGGGGACGAGCAAGGAGATGCCCATGGCTATCTGGGTCCCGTCCATCCTGATTCCCATGCATTTACCTGAGCAGGAAAATTCTACTTCTGGGCTACCTCCACCTACCGTACCCCAGGAGCTGTGACCTACTAGGAGCTGCCAAGTTATCACTCAGAGCCTGGCAGGTAGGACTCGGGTCCTCTCTCGTTCTCCTAAGAACCCCGTCAGCTAGAGATGGCCAAGAGAAGCTGCAGGGCACTTACCACCTCACCATAGCCGAACAGCTGGAAGAGCTCTTCCCGGGGCTTCTCTATCTCCACCGACACCCGGACTCTCTGGGGCAGGGGCTGCTTGGCGTTGTACTGTTCTATCCGCTGCAACATCTTCACCTGCTCCGAAGCATTCCGGCCCTGGGGCAGGACAGGGTAGCTCAGAGCCCAGCTGCTAAGGGCTCATTCTTCCCTCCCTGATGGAATTCTGGGTGCAGAGGGAGAGGGCTTGGAGGAAGCTGGGCTGGAACCCCCTTGGAGCTGCGTGATTCTAGGACTGTCTTTGGGCCTTGGAGGCCCGATCAGCCAAATTTTTCATTTCGAAAATGAGACTAAAGAATGAAAGATGCTGGACATTGCATGCCTGTGACCACAGCACCTGGGAGACTGAAGTAGGAAAATTGTGAATTCCGGGCCAACCTGACCTACATAGGTAAGACCCTAGAAAGAAGCAAGAAAGCAAAGAGAAGCTGGGTGTGGTGGCACACGCCTCTAATCCCAGCACTCGGAGACTAAGTCGGTCCAATCTCTGGGGGTTCAAGGCCAGCCTGGTCTACATAGTCAGACCCTGTCTCAAAAAACAAACAAAAGAAAACAAAACAAGAACCCCAAAGAGACAGACAGAAGGGGAGCGAGAGGAGAGGGAGAGAGAGAGAGAGAGAGAGAGAGAGAGAGAGAGAGAGAGAGAGAACAAAGAGAAAAGAGAGGGAAGAGGAGAGGGAAAGTGAGAGGAGAGGGAGACAGGAGGTAGAGACACACTGGAAGAATCTACGTTAAGTCAAAGGGACAACCCTGGACTTCTCAAGGTTTCCTCTTATCTGGATCCCCAGATTTCTCCCCTGGAAAGAAAGCTGTAATTCCCTTCGGGCCCTCTCCTTCCTGTTTCCTCAGAAGTAAAAGAAGTCAACTCCTCCTAAGCAGCTGGCAGAAACAGATACCAGGAGGGAGGCGGCCCTAACCCAAAAAGGGGGGCCTGGAGCCGTCTGTGCCTGTATGCAGCTGTATCTCCGGATCTTTCTGCACCTCGCTTTCCTCATCGGAAAACATAAGAAAGGGTGGAGAGGAATGGCAGAGGGCTATTCATGATCCCTGTCGTACTTGATGGTTCCAAGAAATCACGGAAGAGGCTGACCATGCGCAAGGGCCTGGCAGGCTAAGCCCCTAGAAAACAGGTAGGGCAGGGCTTGCCTCAATGTGGATCCACTTGAACCGGGTCAGATCAACCTTCTCAAAGTCCTTAGCTGACACATCTGGCAGGTTCCTACATCACAAAACAGGAAGGAAAGAGAAGGAGCGTGGTGGGGGCAGCCAGGCCCCGGTTCTCCGATGGCTAGGGACCCTGTGCCTAGCAGCGATGCCAGCAGCATGGCAGGAAGCTGGGAAGCTCAGGGCTCTGAGGCCTCGGCTGCGCCCTGTCCCACTTTGCTAAGGTGCCCTTTTTGAGTTGAGGTTATCTAAGGATAAGCACCACGGCAGCCTGTGACCAGTCTCCCCCCTACCCCCCGCCCCTCCGTGTTCCTCGGAAACCATCGCCTCTAGAGTGCAGGAGACTACATTTCCCAGAAGGCCCCTCGCGGGAGCACACAGCTCCCAGCAGGCAATGGCCCCGCGAATTACAAAGCCCAAGGCCGCCCTGCCAGGAGCCTTCTTTAATAACATTCTCTAGCTGGGAGTTTGCCAGTGACAGGACACCTTGTCCTGAGTTGGGCTCCTCACTTCATCCCTAAGGTCAAAGTTGACATTCCGAGGAAGAGTTCAGGTGTGGCTGATCTAGATGTGGAGGCTCAGGAGAGTGGTTGGCCTCAATGCTGCTTGGCCACACAGCCTATTCCCTCTCTGTCGTGGAACCTTCCATCCACTTCGCTAGTGGCGGGGGAGGCGGGGACCTTTCGGGGGCTGCTTTCCCATCGGTACACAGGACTGAAAGTCCTTAGCCTCCTGGGCCTGCTGCGGTCGGAGCTATGCATGTGAATATGCCTGGACCCAGGCCAGAAGGCAATAAACATTTCTCTTCGGCTCCTCCTCGGCCTGCTTGACAGTACCCATGTGCGTGTCCTTGATCAGAGTTGCTGCGGATCATCGCTTGCTTAACAGGTCGATGACAGCGATTGCCTAATCTGAAAGTCACCTTTAATAGGTGAATGCCCACTCCACTCTTGAGATCTCCATAGCCTACCCAGGTCCGGTGGTCATGCTAGGTAGTAAGGACAGCGTGAACCCTGAGGCCCCCAGCCTCGTCCCCTCTACCAGCCCTTACCCAGTACCTGCCACCTACTGTACTGGGTTCTCAGTAAACTGAATCTCTGAATCTGTTCAGGAGGTGCCTGGGAGAGATAAGGGTGGAGGTCCACCTTTGGGACTCGGAAGGGATGCTCCTCTGTGTAGGTTAACGTCACATCAGACAGCCCTGACCCGCTGATCTGATGTCCCCTTCCTTCCGTAGTGGCTGCCAATGGTGTGTGGTGTTTGGTTTCATCACACCAGGACCTTTGGAGGGGCCCAAACCTCAGCTCCCTGATGCCATGCTGCAGGCTCAAAGCTCTGGGACTGACCCCAGACATCCCAGTGGGTCCCTTAGCCCTTCAAGGCTTTATATGGGTTGTCTCCCATCTCTGTACACCCCGCCCTAAGCTGCTGATTGACTAATTATGAAGCAATCATATCATCAATTACATGTTTTACAGGTCTG